CTATCAACTCAGTGAAAGCACTGCCTGCTGACCAATCAGAGCTCAGTGTGCGGAGTTTAAAGCGATCAAGTCTTATTACAGGAGAAAGGAAATACAGAAAAGCTGCCGTTGCAGGAAAGACGGCCGGCAAAAATCACCGACTGTGTGAACGTGAACATTAATAGAATATCACCTCCCATCTTCAGAGCAATCTGACTATTATAACATTAGCGTTAAGAAAGCTTACTTAAATATCTGCCACAACATAAGTAACCGGATCAGAGTAACATTAAGTACAGTCTGCGGCATATCACATCACAATGTATCATATATTTCCTTATCTGAGTCAGCTGAGCCGTATCTGGCCGTGCAACACTCACAGTGTCACAGACTGTATGCAGAAGTATTATTTTAAGCAACACATTAAGTTGACGAAACACTCGAGTCAAATGTAATGAAAGTCAGATGGTGTCTTAGACGGGGCAGTGATATCATAAACCTGTTAATGTACGCATTCAAACACTTGTTCTGTTACCAGCTGTATTCACCTTGCAGGTGCAGCTATGTGGCTTTGATCCTGGATCAAGTGTTTAAGTCATGGATGTTTAAAGTTTAACTTCTTCATATGTCTAATATTATAGTTGACTTTTCATTCAGGAAGTATGACGCTGTGCTGTCAGTACGCTTCTCCATGTTTGTGATTGGTCGAATGCTCCAGATACCACCCCTTTCATGTGAACGCGCAACTAGATAGGACACGGCTGGCTTGAGCGATCCACTTGATAACCAGCGTCGTAGGACCGTTTAGCGAGAGCGCGTATGTTTTGGATTAGGCCAACCGGCTAACTCAAACACATCCAGGTAAGGTTGAACCAGCTTCGTAGTACAGGCCTCTGGGGGCTGAAAGCATTCACTAATAAAACACCATACTGTATATTCTCTCAGGTGATGAACAGTTGTTGGTTTATAAACAGGTGAGGTGTCCCATAATGTATTTAGGCGGTAATGCTGCCAAAAAAATAAAATAATAATTCATTTTATTTATATAGCACCCTTTAAAAACAACGTCAATGCTATGAGGGAGGAGAAAATACAATAAAATAAAAAGTTATCCTAGGAACATATTGAGTAAGATATGGTAATATAAAAAAAAGTCAAAAGCATAAAAGGTAAGAATAAAAATCAATAAACAAAGGAAGTGGAAATGGAGTGATTCTGCCAAGTTCAGCACCATGGAGAGCGACACACACACGTCAATGACACTCATTCAAATATCACTGGCATTAGAAAAAAGGTACAATATCAGTCGAATTAAAAGGTGTTTAAACTACTTTGGAAAAGCTAGAGATCAACAATATGTGGTTTATTTCAATGGAAGATGAGAAGAAGTGTGAAGCGAGAGATAGGAGGTGATTAGCTTAGCATAAAGACTGTAAGCATGGAGATACAGTTAGCCCTGTCCAAAACAAACACAATGTGGCGACTAACAATTACAAAGCTCACATTACGTTTAATCAAATCTCCCTCCCTGTATATAGAAAGATGTGCAATGCTGAAATTCCACAATGTAACTGGTGCGTAAAAGCTCAGAAAGCCACGTCAAATCCAAATTCAGTTTGAAGCTACTTGTGAAAAATATGAACGTGAAAGTGTATCATATGGATGTTGCCCTCCATTGGGCCTTAAAGCAGAATGTCAGTTTGCTCCCTCTCCCCGACCTACCTGAAGATGAAGATGAAGAGCATCAGCAGCATGCAGAAGGTGGCCACGTTGTCCATGGTCTTCATCAGAACCACCAGCTGTCTCTGCAGAGCCGGCATGAAGCGAACCAGCTTCAGAACCCGCATCAGTCTGAAGGTCCTCAGCACCGAGAGACCCCCGCCCTGCTGACCCACGATCTCCCACACACTGAGGGGGGAACCAGGGAGAGTCACGTCCATTAATGTTCTACCTTTTCACTTTGACTAATGTTGTGGAGGACATTCTTAAAGGTCCCCTATTATACTGTTTCTCATCAATATCTCACAGGTCTCAGATATATCCAGAGCCTGTTTCTGATTGGCTGAAAAACCAAACAGATCATTGCAGCATTACCCATAATCCCCTCTGTTTCAGCCCTGTTTCCAAAGTGCTGATTCTCTGTCTGTTACTTTAGATGAAAATAAGGAGCCCCTCCCCACGCCCCTCTGAGAGACATTTGGTTACAAATAACTCAATGGTGCTCTAGGAGGAGATTCAGGTGATAAGGGGGGGGGGGTTACCTTGGTTGCTGATTGGCTAATGGTTACACAAGACAAAACATCGTTATGACATCATAAAGTGGCCAAAATCTGATCAGCTCATTTTCAGACAGGTTTTTATAGAAATGGATCAAAAAGAGAGAGAATCTTTTTTGGTGCAGCCCTTTGTATATTTTCTGTAAGTGTTATGAAGTCCTGTGCTCACCTGATGACCACGATGATGCCGTCGAAGATGTTGTACGGGTTCTTGATGTATCCGAACGGCCCGTAGACTAAAACCTTGAGCAGCATCTCCAGAGCGAAGAGGCTGGTGAACACGATGTTACTGATCTCCAGAGCGTTGGTCAGTTCGTCCGGCTGCACACACAGAGAGAGAGAGAGAGAGAGAGAGAGAGAGAGGGAGAGAGAGAGAGAGAGAGGTTAATCAATAACAAATACAATGATATGCAACACATCCAACA